CTCTCCATTCCCACTACTTTACATCCACCAACTTTTGCCTGGAATATTGCAAGTCCCTTCCTCCCTTCCTTCCTCCCTCCTTCTCTCCATTCCTTAATATGCGTGTTGAATAACTCCTTGAGCAAAACAGGAAACCACCATGGAAATGTAAAGAAAGCCTAAGACAGAACAATAATGAAACTACCATGTATCAGAATGCATGGGGCTCATTGGTAGCTGGTCTTAGAGGGAGGTACAGAGCCCAAAACGGAGCTTATGTTAAAAAGAATAAAATCTCACAATCACTGAGTTTGCTGTCCATGTTAAGAAGTGAGAGAAATAACATTATAAACCTAAAGGAAGGAGTAGAAAATAAGAGGTATTAAATACAAGAGAAAAACAAAAACAAAAACAGAGCAGAGGGGCACCTGGGTGGCTCATTTGGTTAAGTGTCCGACTCTTGATTTTGGCTCAGGTCATGATATCAGGGTCGTGAGATCAAGCCCCATTCCCGCTACTTTACCTCCCCCAACTTCTGTCTAGAATATTGCAAGTCCCGGCCTTCCTTTTTTTTTTTTTTTTTTTTTTTGTAGGCTACATGCCCAGCTGGAGCCCAATGAGGGGCTTGAACTCATGATCCTGAGATCAGGACCTGAGCTGAGATCAAGAGTCAGATGCTTAACCGACTGAGCCACCCAGATGCCCCGATATTGCAAGTTTCTTAATTGGCTTTAAAAAAATTATAATAATCAAGGAACAGTAATAATAATCACATGCCAACAAATGTAACAATATAGATAACACAGGAAAATCAACTTCCAGGAACTGATGCAAAAAGAATTCTCATAAATCATCCTCTAAAGAAATTCACAGTGATTAAAAATCCTCCCACAGATGATGGACTCTGAAAAACAAACTGAGGGTTCTAGAGGAGAGGGAGTTGGGAGGATGGGTTAGCCTGGTAATGGGTATTAAAGAGGGCACGTTCTGCGTGGAGCACTGGGTGTTATGCACAAATAATGAATCATGGAACACTACATCCAAAACTAATGATGTAATGTATGGGGATTAACATAACAATAAAAATTTAAAGAAAGAAAAAAAAAAGGCAAAAAAAAAATCCTCTCACAAAGATAACATCAAGCCAAGATAGTTTTATAGGCAAAGTTCTAAAAAGATTTCAAGGAATACATTATCCCAATTTTATGTATAAAATCAGGGTGATCTCTTCCAGACAAGAGAAAAGAGAGGAAAAACTTCAATTCGTCCTACAAGGCAAACATAACCTGATTTAAAAAAAAGAAAAAAAGTCTTACGAGAAAGGAAAACAATAGGCCCATATCACTCAGGATTATGGAGGCGAGAATCTTAAACACCAGCAAGCTGTGTTTATCCTAGTAATTAAAGACTGGTTTCAAGGATGGCTGAGTATTAGAGAAGCAAGTAAGCGGGATCCCCATGTGAACACATCCATCAGGAACACCGTTAATGGCATCTTACTGCAGTGTCCGGTCAGAGATGGAAGGCACTGGTATTTTCTGCACTCAGAAAGTGCCTGCTTCTATATACACACTGCCTAAACTCTGCTTACTAACTATTGACTATGTGGTCAGCTAAATCTATATTCACCTATTCGCTTTCAGCAGAAATATACCATGGATAAAGAAATCTGATTCATTCTGCATTGTTCTGGGGAAAAATCACTGAGGCTCAAAAGAATGAAGTGCCATCTTTAACAAGCATGAGAACATGGACATTATATGGCTTTTGTTTAACAGAAGAGCACTATCACCGTATGATGGCTAAGGTGACCCTCTCCCTGGGTCACAGGATGTCTGAGACTGACTTCAGGTAACTCACAGCCAAGTAAGGGAGGAGATAACCATCCCTGCACATGACTAAAGCTGCACGGAGATATAGAAAAAAAAGAGAAAAGAAAAGAAAAAAGAAAGAAAGAGGAAGAAAGAAAAAGAAAGAAAGAAAGAAAGAAAGAAAGAAAGAAAGAAAGAAAGAAAGAAAGAAAGAAAGGAAGGAAGGAAGGAAGGAAGGAAGGAAGGAAGGAAGGAAGAAAAAAAACGATAGATAGTAGTTTGAGCTCAGAGGATGGAACTGGGAAGTCCTCCCAGAGGTGGTGCCATTTAACTCAGGTCTTAAAGAATGACTAGATGCCCTCAAAAGACAAGTGGAAAAAAGAGTTTCTGACAGAAGGAACGAGCTTAGACAACAAGAAGGCATGGAAGGGCAAATAGCAGGTCTGGCGAACCATGAAAGGTCGTCCATGGCACAACAGATCTGTAACGCAACATCTGTCCAAAAAAACAACATCTGTCCTGGCTCCCCTACCTCGTTCTTTACCCCATACATGTGATCAGGAACCCATGGAGCTAATTCCACCTCCTACATTTTCTCTTAAATCCTCTCCTCTCCATTCCCACTACTTTACCTCCACCAACTTTTGCCTGGAATATTGCAAGTCCCTTCCTCCCTTCCTTCCTCCCTCCTTCTCTCCATTCCTTTCTTTCTTTTCTTCTTTTTGTAGGCTCCGTGCTCAGCTGGAGCCCAATGCGGGGCTTGAACTCATGATCTTGAGATCAGGACCTGAGCTGAGATCAAGAGTCAGATGCTTAACTGACTGAGCCACTCAGGTGCCCCAATGTTGCAAGTTTCTTAAGTGGCCTTCAAATCTCCCCATTTCCAGCCTACATTGTCACTGAAACGTTCTTTTCTTTCTTTTTTTTTTAAGATTTTATTCATTTATTTGCGGGGCGGGGGCAACACAGAGGAAGAGGCAGAAGCAGGCTCCCCGCTGAGCAGAGAGCCCCATGCGGGGCTCGATCCCAGGACCCCGAAATCATGACCTGAGTCGAAGGCAAACACTTAACCGACTGAGCCACCCAGGCACCCCTGGAATGTTTTTTCTAAAGCATAGTCAAACCATTTCGTCACTTAAAATCCCATATGGTTCTCCAACACACAGGAGAAAAAGCTCATCCTTGGTGTGACGTGCAATTTCAGGTACAATTAAGACCCTGTCCACCTTTTCAGACTCATGCCCTACTTCTGACCCTTCCAGACTCCACACTGGCTCTGTGACGGCGCATAGGTTACTAGTCCTAGTTACTAGGACAGGTTACCAATCACGGCGAGCCCACTTCCTCTTTAACATGGAGAGAGGAGTTCCCACCCATGTGTTCAGATTAAATAAAACTATACACCTAGTGACATAAAAGCTTGGCCTTCATCTTGCACATCCCCAGGACTTATTAAAGAATTTTATACAGAAGAATGATGCAATTCAATCAGCACTTTAGAAAGATGAAGAGCAGTAGTGGGGACAGATGAAGGGGGTGAGGAACGTGAGGAAGACCAGCAAGCAGGAGGAAATTCACAGTGAGAAATGAGTGTGTCATGTCAACCAGACTAGAAACAAAGGAACTAGGGAAAATTAAGGGATCTAATCTAAAGCATTTGGTTCCTAACTGGAAAATATTCAGGAACAGAAGCTGATTCTAACACGTTCTGAATGCTTTCTCTGCCCTCACTTGAAACAACTCTCCATGGTTTGAAATTGGATTCACTTTATAGAAACAGGCAAAAGTGTACTGGGATCCAATCTCCAAAGTAAAGAAATTAAGCTGGGAAATGCCACTTGGGATTAAAAGTGAGCAGGGACAATTGTGTAATGATGCTTCTAACCAATATGCATTTTTCTGAAGAAATGAAAAATGTTCTTATCAATGGCTCCAGGGACTGGAATAAATGTAGAGTCTATAAAATAGGTGGGAATCACGTGCATGTAACAAATCTTGGCCTGAAAAAACAAAAACAAAAACAAAACCTAGCCACTTTATAACACATCTTCTAGTTTGTTACATTGCCAAATAGGAAACACACAGTTTCACGAGTAGACTATGGACAAGCATCAAAAGAAGACCTAGATGGTTTCACTACCAAAGTTCTTGTACACCGGGACCCTGCGTGGGGGACTGTCTACCTCAAAGACTTGTGTTCACATTACATCTGTGTAGAAGACATAGGAAAACCTAGAAGTCCCATTTTGCAGTTCTTCAGCAAAATGTCCATGTAGACAGGAATTTCAAAAGCAGATAGAAATTTGATTCCTTCTACATTCTCATGACTCAATTGTGACTTCACACTGTGCTACACAGACTGACAATTTGAGATAGCAGGGTTGCATCTTACAGTTAAGAAGTATGATACACAGTCTCCGCTGAGAGTCGCCGCGGTTTCCTGCTTCAACAGTGCTTGGACGGAACCCGGCGCTCGTCCCCCACCCTGGCCGGCCGTTCAGAGCCAGCCCTCCGCCATCTCTTCGTCGCGCCCTTGGACCCTCCAAGGCCCCCGCCGCTGCTCGCTGCCGCCTTTTCTCAGCCGCCGCCACGACGCCCGTGTCCCCCTCGCAGGTGCGCCAGAACGACCACCAGGACTCGGAGGCCGCCATCAACCGCCAGATCAACCTGGAGCTCTACGCCTCCTACGTCTACCTGTCCATGTCTTACTACTTTGACCGCGACGATGTGGCTTTGAAGAACTTCACCAAATATTTTCTTCACCAATCTCATGAGGAGAGGGAACATGCTGAGAAACTGATGAAGCTGCAGAACCAACGAGGTGGCCGAATCTTCCTTCAGGATATCAAGAAACCAGACCGTGATGACTGGGAGAACGGGCTGAATGCAATGGAGTGTGCATTACATTTGGAAAAGAGCGTGAATCAGTCACTACTGGAACTGCACAAACTGGCCACTGATAAAAGTGACCCCCATTTGTGTGACTTCATTGAGACTCATTACCTGAATGAGCAGGTGAAATCCATCAAAGAATTGGGTGACCACATAACCAACCTGCGCAAGATGGGGGCTCACGAATCTGGCATGGCAGAGTATCTCTTTGACAAGCACACCTTGGGAAACAGTGATAGTGAAAGCTAAGCCTTAGGCTGTCTTCCCATAGCCACAAGGGTGACTTCCCTGGTCACCAAGGCAGTGCATGCATGTTGGGGTTACCTTTACCTTTTCTATAAGTTGTACCAAAACATCTACTTTACTTCTTTCATTTGTACCATTCTTCAAATAAAGTAATTTGGTACCCCCCCCCCAAAAAAAAGTATGACACACTTTGGCACGTCCTCTGAAAAACAAAATAAAAATGCTAATGCCGAAATTGCGTTACCTTATAATGATTTCAAGGTTTGAGAGGAGAATTCCTGGATATCCGTTTATCAGAAAGAATTCCTGGATGCTCGTTTATCTGAAAGAAATACATCAATTTAGAAGATCTACGGAGGCTGATGGTTCACACACTAACGGTATTCTTTATACGCGTAGTCTCGCGCCAACTTTCCATGACACCTGTTTCTTGGAGTGTACTCTAGGAGTCACTAGCTATTGGATTTTCCCTCAAACCACTTCATGAGGTATTTAAAGGAGTTAACAAGTTCAAGACCAATAGGTTTTGGCGTCTCGATCCCTTACATCCCAAGTAACGAGCACAGAGGCTATGGATGGGGCTGGTGCACCAAGCCCCACTGTGGCCCCCAGAACCTCTGATGTCAACTCATCCCCAAGACCACAAAGGTGGCCTGGTAAGGTTTATGAACAGAGGATGTCCAGGTGTAGCTGGACACTCCTACTTCTCAACTCTGCTGTACTCCACTGTCTGATGCAGTATTTCCTACAGCACATGTTAAGGACTTGGATTTGAATCTCAGTTCCCCTCTCTACTGTTAACAGAGACAGAAGTTTACTTCTCCCAACCCTGTTTTTTCTCTAGAAAAACGGGACACTGCAACCTGACTTTGGGAGGCTACAGTCAGGATCAACTGGGATGAAAAGTACAGGTAGAGTCCCACGAAGCATGAAGCACGGAGTCTACCTATTTCTCACGATACTGTGTCTTGCACAGCTGGGGTCTGGAAGCGCCGCGGGCTATCCCTTCCCCTAGCAGCTAAGGTGGAGCTGGGGAGGTCAGGGTATCCACAGCCATCCCTCGGAGAACGCTGGATACTTACCGCGGCTGGTTCTGGAGCAATTACCTCCTGCATCTCAGATCAGGTTAGAAACAGGCATAGGAAAAGGGTAAGGTGCCGGAAATGCATGTGATCAGTGAGCCAGGATCTGGTCAACAACCGGGAGGTGGTAGCGTAACAGATAAATTCAGCACTGGAGCTTCGAAGCTCTTGTCTCCCAACGCTTCCGGGCCTCTGTGGCTTTCTGCTCAGCTCCGTCCATCCTCCCACCCATCAACCTCCCAGGTCTGACCTCCACAGGTCTTTGACCCAGAATTCTCCTCCTCATCCCTCTCTCCTGGGTGGTGGGGATGGCAATTGGAGCTGGTGTCTCGTGCCCAACCAGCAGCCACAGCACCTGGGGCAGAAGGCAGGGCTGGCGAGCAGCCACCAGGCGAGGCAGCCTGGGTTCCTATGGGCTGGGGAAATCTCCAGCATGTTACAGGTGGAAGAACGGTACCCTTTTCCTTTAGCATCAAGAAAGCTAGGGCAGGTGAGGGCAACCAACAAAGGAACAAACCTGAAGGACAGACCGCATCCCACCTGCTCGGACAGACGGCAAAGCAGGGGCTTCACGGATACACCTGTTGTTTCAAGATGAGTAAGCTAAGAGCTAGAGCAACCGCCAAGATGGGAGGAGAGAATGAACGGAGCCATAAACACTTTCAGAAGAAGAGAATTTCTCCCAACGTGAAATGCACAGATAATTTAATGGAATTTACTTGATTTTCCCCTCTCAGGGTCTGACTTCAGGAAAACAAATTACAAAGTCATCATCACATCCTAGATTTATTACAACTGACCTGCAGGCAAAAGGATAGAACTATTACATAAACACTTCGATTCCATGTATATATCTTAAATAGAGGAGGGATTCAAACAAGAATACAGGATAAAATATTCCCAAGCTCCAAGAAGCAGGTATGTTACTGAGCTTCATTTGTACAGACAAATAAGGCAATATCCCTGCACATTAGCTTTTTGATAATTTTTATACATTTTTCTATGGTACAAGAGAAAAATAACCAGAGCTCACAATGTACAGTTCTTACACTATTTTCACAGTTTGTGAACACTATACACCCTTTTGTTTTAATAAAGATACACTGTAATAAATTCCTTGCCCTTAAGTTTATAGTTTATAATAATCTATGATTAATACACTAAAATTGCCTTTCGATGTGGTCATCCACACAAGAGAACGGTCAGATGAAGCTCCTGGACAGTCAGAATTGCTTTTATCCCCACGTGTCCGATGGCAAAGTGACCCTATGCGGAGCCAGACGGGAAGTGGACAGCAGAGCAAGAGATTTCCTCCTGAGTCCCCGGGAGCAACGGAGGATGATGGCTTGGTGTGGTCGAAGGAAGACGTGCAGCAACGCTTCCTTTCCGAACACTGGGAAGTCTAAGGTTTAGGAAGCCGGGGTGGGGGGAAATTGGGGAAACAAGGCGAGTGGACCGAAGCGATAATTCATTTCTGAATTCTGAAATTTACAGGGATGTAACGTGAATCAGCACCGCTTTCCCTAGACGGTTTTGGGAGGGGCCCCCGGCGCCGGCGGCCGTCACCTGCTTCGGACGGCACCACCGGCCTCGGCCCGGGCCTGCTCTCTGTGCGTGCACTGCCACATGGAGCCGCACGCTTGGGGCCAGCGCGGCCACAGCGATGCCCAAGGGGAACCTGGCTAATGAAGAAGGGATGAAGCACAGCAACAGGGGTCAGATTTCAGTGGACTCACAACTATTCTGGGGCGGTTTGGGGGTTTGGTGTGTTTGGGGTTTTGTGGGGGTTTTTTTTGTTTTTAATAGAATTCCAATTCCAAAAAATAACAGTGATCTGCCAGAGACTCTCACAGGTGATGAGCTTCTCTAAGGGACCCTCATCTGGTCAAATGTGTCTCTAGAGGATGCTTCTTCATCACCTACCACATCGGCAGGGCCCCACGTTTCTGAGCCTTTCAACGCTGGAGCATAGGAGGGATTTGGGGCTAACTGTCCCTGGTAATTAAAAAGCATTTTGATATAGGAGGGGGGAAAAGGCAAAATATTGGATTAAGCAAAAGTCACAGAGTGGCAACAGACCAGGCGGGAGGGGACAGGGATTCAGAAACCAAAGATCTGGGCCAGTGAGAGCAAAAGACTGGGGTTTGGTCTTGTGCTGCCTACAAGCAACCTCTATGTAATCAGTCAAGGCACATCGCTTCTAGCTGCTTCTCCCTGTGAGTGAGCTATGGTGGCTAAAGTATCAGGCTTGGGACCGGGACCAAGGGGGATACATAGCTGCTACAAGTTGTTCCAGATCAGATGCTAGAATTGGAAACATCTGTACACTTTGCCCTCAGTACGTTTTTCTTGTTTCAGTCCGGGTGGTTTGTGGCAGATGGAACATCAAGTTGGCAGCACACCGAATTTTGAGAATGAAGATTCTTAGGATCAGCACCTTCTTTGACAAGTGGCAGACTCCTGAGTCTTCCCGATGAAGAGCAGAAGGACCAGTAAAGGAGAAAAGAACACATTCTGTCCTGTCTCAATATTTCACTGTCCACCTCTTTGAACGCAACATGGTTTTTGGTAAAGATAAATTCATTCTAATTTAACGTGATATTTCAAACAGGAAATTTGGCTGAGCACATCGATCCCCGAACATCGACTGTGACGGTAAAGCAACAGAATATCAAATCAGTAAATCTATTGCACTTGGTGAAGAAAGTAAATTCCTCCTTTGTCCCCCAGCTCCAGAGGGCCGTGTGTCTTGTCGGCTGCACCAGCTCTTCTCACTCAAGCCCGAGTCTCTCTGTTCAGACATAGTACATCCATCACCGTGTTCTTCCGGCATCTGGAAGTCTGACAAAACACCACTCCAGTAGCTGCGTCTTCAGGTTTCGAGTCTAGAAATGAATTTAAGATGTGATCTAATCACAGTCAACAAATTGATCGTACTGACTTCCACATTTCATGACTAAATTCATCACAATAGAGCAGGATGAGGTCTCTCTGACCATCACTAACACTGTGTGATCAATCGGGTGTCACGGGGATGCATGTTCTAGGTGACGGGAGTATACAGACATGATGGAAACGAACACCAATCTTATTGCACATGGTGTCTGGGCGAGCAATAAAAACACTGTGATAAGGGATGAAAATTCTTTACGTCTTGCTTCTTCTCAGCCCTTTATTCTCGAGTCTGACGTAGCAGCGAGATCAGTCGACATACATGGGAGAGCTGGGAGTCGCTGGCATCTGATCCAGGATTTTACAAACATAGCAGGCGACCTCTACGGTACGTTCTTCATACATCAAAATAAAGGGATGTTTCTGCAAGAAAATGGAACAGAGAAAAAGAAAAGAAAAACATCAAAGTTCGTGTCAGAGGCCACAGATCGTGACGGGGCACAGAACGGAAGGCTCCAACCACACGTGGCTGCACAGTATCGTGGCACCGGCTCAGAGAGGCAAGCATGGCCCATACTTCATGGAGACGTGGTGCTGGGTGCGGGCATGCCTGATCTGGAAGAGCCGTCCGGGCAGTGAAGTCAGGAAACTATTCTCTACACCGGGGAGCATCTGTTAAGGCAGAGACCAGAGCTGGGGCCTCTGCCGCCATCTGAGAGCCAAGAAGAGCTGCAGGAATACCAGTCGCCATTCCTCTTGGGACACAGACGTCAACTTCACGTCCCATTTCCCCGCGTGTAGCAGAAGGATCTTAGAGAAAAGACTCTGCCAGTGCCTCAGACCCCACTCCAGGAGGCTCAACGGGATCTCATCCTATGAGCTTCTGCCCTGTCCCCTGCAAAGCCCCCCTCTCCCTTCACATGCCATCTCCGTCAGTACTTTTCTTTCACGGCTTCTCTAAGTATGCTGACCGCGTATCTTTAGTCATTGCTGCCGCTGACCACAGGTTGGAGCACATCGTAACCTGGCCACTAGACGATGGGGTCTTTCCTTAAAAGATCCCCACATAATCAGATCAGTATTTTCTTCACTGCCGAGACCGATGTCACATCCAGGACTGCTTATGACGCCCAAGTCCTGGGGATGGGTGAACTGTCAAAGACACGGGAATTTGCTGTGTGATATAACTTTACGTGACCACATTTCACGAAAGCAGAAGCACAAGAAAGTCTTACGGGTATGTTATGCATACACAGACCGTGCGGTTGAAGCTGGCTCCTTAAAGTGAGTGTTATAACTCTTTGGGGTAATTTTTATGACATGTCAAGGCCAAAATTTTCCATGAGAATCCAGCTAGTAAATTGGTAGGAAAGTTATACTTCCAATTCTCTCTTTCCATATATCTGTTTCGAACATTTTTTTAAAATTACTCAATTAGGCCAAGCTGTTTGTCTAGGACGGAGAGGACTAATATTTGCTTAGTGAACTGGCATGCTAAGAGAATTTGCAGTGAGGAAATATCTAAAATTCCCAAAAGTAAAAAAAAAAAAAAAAAAAAAGAATATAAAATAAAATAAAATTCCCAAAGTCTCATACTCACCAGAAGTTCTTTATACTTTGGCCTTTTGGATTCATCCTTCGTAAGGCTAAAATAACATAAAAATACCATTAATAAAATGGAGACACAGTTACCCAAGTATTTTTCTTTTCACAAATGAAATATTACAAAAAATCAAGCAGTTTTTTCCTTCAGATACAAGAGTAGCAACAAGAACAACCCACTGAACATAAAAAACACAAAAAATTAGACAATCTATAATCTAAGGATTTTTCCTTAGGATAGTCAGTGTAGAAGCATTAGTGAAAAATCAGAAACAAGGTAACTACTGAAAATCGGATAACTTACAGCACAGCTGCATGGCAGAGTTCTACACAGTTAAATATATGAATGTGTAAGTATAAAATTGTGTGTGTCCGTGCATGTGTTTTCTAAATATACACACAAGTATTTGTACAGAACTACCTGAGAAACCAGAGTCTGGGAAGTAAACTATATATAAATGTTATCAATGTATCCTTATATTTTTAAAAGTTTTGCATTCTGTCTCTCAATCCTGTGTTCTCTGGTCCAAAAGTTGACAACAGTGCAACCTCACTAAGGACTATACTGATTTATTGAACCCTCTGCCCTGATATTTTCCCCTTGAATCCTACCTTGTCTAATTAATGTTACCGGAAAGTATCTTCATGTTGTTTCTATTTCCCGAATTTGTCCTGGACCATATCTTAATCACCACTCTCCTCCAACGTCAATTAGATTCATTTTTTTACAATCAAAAATTAATTAGGGGCACCTGTGTGGCTCAGTCTGTTAAGCGTCCAACTCTTTCATTTTGGTTCAGGTCGTGATCTCAGGGTCGTGAAATCGAGCCCTGTGTCAGGCTCTCCGCTCAGTGGGGAGTCTGCTTGAGATTCTCCCTCTCCTTCTGCCCCTCACCCCAATTGTTCGTTCTTTCTCTCTCTCTCTCTCAAATAAAGAAATCTTTTTTTTAAAAAGTTACTCCTGGCAACATAGTTCACCAATTTCTACAGCCAGTGCCGTGTTCTACACCCCGCACCTTCTATACCGCACAGTGTGTAGCTACACAGAATTCCGGAATGCAGAGCGTCCCCCAGCAGACAGCTACCAGCCTCTTAGGGGCGATCTCGGCTGAAGACAGCCACCTTAGCCCCTCTGGGGCAGCCTGAGCTAGTGACCGCCCCAAAAAGGGGTAGAGAAATCCAGATCCTCATCCACGTCAGGCCAACCTCAGAGGGCCACCCAGCGGCATGGCTTGCTCCGGGGTCTGCTGAGGCCCCCGCTGAGAATGCGCTACAGCCCAACTTCACCTCGCTAGGGCTGACTGCAAGGTCACTACCACCTCATCGGCCTCCGCACGCTGTTCTCTGCCTTCGAGGCAGCCAACCTGCAACCCCCTTCTGTTGGGTTCACCTCCCTCCTTGGCCAAGTCTATCTTTTCTAACAATCTATGAATGGTAAACTCTTCGTCTTTCCATTCCCCCCCCAAAAAATCTGTATTTCCTCCTTGTTTTAAATGATAACTGAATGCCCAAGTATAAAACTGTAGGACAAGGTTAACAATTCTATTTCCTCTATACCCTGGAGCTATGACTTGTTTTCTGGCAAATACTGTTGCTAATAACAAGCTGGTGGCAGTCTAATTAATTACTCCCTCACAGACATTCTATCCTCCTGCTAACTTATACCTTATTATTGTTCTGTACTTTTACTTCAATGCATTTAGGTATAAATTTACCTTGGTTTATCCTACATGGTAGAGAGACCTTAATTTCAATCTGAGAACATATCCTAGATCACTTCTCAAATGCTTTTCACTAGTGTCTCCAATATTGCTTCTCCACTTCCAGAATTATCTTGTCATTTCCACTACATTCATCCGAGAAGTTCCCATTCTATTCTCCTTGGTGCTTAACTACTCTTTGCGACAGTGTAATCTGTGTCATGTTGGGAAATCCCACAGGCCGATTCTGCCAACTTCACCAGTTCCGTCCTCAATTGTTTCCAGTCTAGAGTACAACAAATCTGCTATCCTCTGTCACAATAGCTATGTTTTTTCCTTTCTAAAACGTCTAATTAGTTTTCATATCCAACTATTTGTTTCATTGCTGTTTTACTTCTTCCTCAGTTTTAACAGAACTTCCACCTTCATTTCCTTGAACACCCTAAATACACTTATTTTATTTTGAACTGTATTTTAGACTATTCCACAAACTCAGCTTGATGTAACATAAACTCGTGTTCTGTTTGTTAGTTGCTTTTCTTAGCATTAGACCCCATGCATTTTGGAATTCTGGTTTGCAGGGTGTGCACGCTTACGCATACATCTGTTCAACGATTCTCCGAGTGCCTGCTAAGTACAATGAACTAACGCAGCAGGTAGAGAGACGGGAAGCAGTTTCCTTAGCTCGGGTCCACCAGCACTGAACAAGGTCCCGTAATGGGTCTGTGAAGTTCCTATCCCCTGCTGATATTAGGATGATTACAGACCCAGTCCTCCGATTATCTGTGAGCCTGCCACTCCGGAGCGCTGCAGCATACTGTGGCCCAGGCAGTGACTGATACGCGTATTTCGTTCACTCCCCAGATCCTGACTCTAAGCAGAGCCTGATCCTGTGGATGAAAAGGGCACTTGTCGACGGTTGATCCTGCAGGAAGTAATGTCCCAGCTCCCACTGCCTGCTTCTAGACCTGGGGAGAGCAAGGCCAAAGCTGCAGACCTCCAGAGCATTTTATACATCCTTCCATCCAGCTGCCGTCCACACTGGCATTCACTTCATAAAGCGACCCTGACTTTTTGGTTTTCGATTTTTCCATGTCGTTTACTGGAGCAAAAAGCTGCGCCAACGTAGAAACTCATGATGCCATGTGAGTAGAAATGTTTAACCAAATTATTACTAACACTGACTATCCTCTGTCTCAGAATTCCTGCTGCCATCAGTTATCACATTAACCCAACTAGTTAAGACCCCTGCATCCAATAAGGTCGCGACTTGTCAGATTCATTCCAATGAAATGAAATGTTAAAATGTATTTCCTTGGCCACATCTCAGGTGCTCTGGCCAACACACTGGGCAGAGTGGGTTGTGAAACATTTCCATCACCTCCAAAAGTTCTGCGGCAGTTTCAGACCCACTTTTCAGTTTATTGATCTCCCTTCAATTATACCTAATCTATCTGCTGCTTAATCCAGCTGCTGAGTTTTGTGTATGCTTTTTATTTCAGGATGTTCAATTTGGTGCTTTGTTAAGTTTCTGTTTCTTGCTTGTATGTCCAAGCTTCTTTTCCTTTAAGTTTATAAAAAAACTTCTGTTTCTCATTATTCTCGTATCTGAAGTCCTCAGATGTATTCCTGCCATCAGCCATTTCTACTAATTCTCACTTCTTGTATGAGTGTTGGAATTTCTTCTGAACAACTCATATTGCACTTGACTTTATCTTTGGGGATTCTTGGGTCCCAGCTTGAAGGATCTGGTCTTGCTTCTGCCGACTGACTGAGTCTTTCCAATCAGCTGCCTCTCATCTTCCTTTTACTTCTCCAGGCCCCACAGGCACCAATGCTGACCGACCATCAGGAGCTGACCCCGGTCACAGGCCTCGGTGACTGGGAGAAGGAGTGGACAGCCATCCCTAGAACATCATCACCTTGCCAAAGGATGTTTCCTGGGTCTGTGAGCACAGCTTCCGCCATGCTCCCCGGCCTCTAACCAACACAAGGGTCCTCACCAGGGTCACTGCAGCAAAGCCTGAGCCAAGTGTAAGGCAGGAGTGAATACTGCCAGAGTCCCAGCCGTGTCTGGGATCCACTACAGAAAACACTCCCTCAAGACTTTTTTAGGATCAAGATCTGCTTCCTAATGGCCTGGACCTCCTGTCGCAGGTGCTCTGTGCCAAGCTGAGGAATTCCAGTGCAGCTCTTATTTCCTGCCCGTGGCATTTTCCCTCTGCACACGGAAAACTCGAGACCAGTCGGCCATCCCTGAATTCAGCCTCATCTTCCCAATTTCACAAGAACTTCTAAGGATAGTACTTCCGCCATTTTTCAGAACAAGTAAAGACTTTTAAAAATTCCACTAATGCTTTAAATAGGAAGTTAAAGCAGGGAGGAACATAAACTGTGCGCTGGTATTGTCACTTTGGTCCCTAAGCACTCATCTCCTTTTTATTCCTTAAGCAAACTCTGAATTGAAGCATATGTTCAGCAAAGAACACACATTCTAAGTATAGAACAAAAATAAGAGGAACAATATTCTGACTCTATTACCTTGTCTGCTTTTTAAATTTCATGTAAATGAAACCATGCATACTGTTTTCTGTCTTCCTTCTTCCACGCAAGGCCATCTTGAGATTTACCCCTGTTGCGAGCGTAGCAACAGCCCATGTTCGATGCTATATGGCGCCGTGTGAACAATGCTAGAGCTCACTGTCCACTCTACTGTTGACAGAGGCGCTTCTTTCCAGCTAGAGGTGATCATGAATATGTGGTTCTGCACGTCCTTACGCATGCCTCTGTCTGCGCTTTCACGGGGCACATACTTGGGACTTGAACTGCTGGAGGGTTAACACGTGCACCAGCTCTTAGGAGATCCTGCCACAGCTTCTCTAGAAGCTGTGCCAACTCACAGGCCTGCAAGCACCGTATGGGACTTCCAGTTGCTTCAGACGCCCTGGTACCGTTGGTCTTTTAAACTGTAGTCATTTCTGCTGATCGTAATCATGTCTCATTGTAGTTTTGATTTGCATTCCCCTGATGTCTAATAATGCCAAATGAACACCCTTTTATATGTTTACTGAGCACCTGAATGTCATCTTTTTAAGCACCTTTTCAAGTATTTGGCCATTTTTGGTTGTCACTTTCATATTTATAAGTGTTTTGTACTCATGAGCACTCTACATATTCTGAATGAAAATCCTTTTTCAAGTATCTGTACGGCAAGGACACTGCATCGTTGGCATTTCATTCAGTGGTGTCTTCTAATCAAGAGACATTCTTAAATGAAATCCCTTCTTTTATGCTTAGTTGCTTTCTGTGTGCTGTTGAAGAAATCTTCATCTAGCCAAAGGCCATGAGAATATGTTCCCGTATCTTCCATACATGTTTAACTTACACAACTGCAGAAACTCAATTTGGCCAAAAAAGCTCAAGGGGAGGACTGAGAAATGCGGCTCGCGCAAAAAACCAGGTCCAGATCATAACGGGTTTTGAAAGCCAGGTTAATTTAGACCTTTTTTTTTTTTTTTAAGGGCCACGGGCAGCCTCTGGACCAGAGCTCCCCAGTCTTTTATCATTAAATTTCCTGGGAAATTTAAACACCACACATCTGTTTATATTCCATGTTATCCAAGAGTTTCTTGCCTCTCCGGAACAAATTTTTGCCCCCTTTGGGGTGATGATATCACTCTGTTAAAAATGCATGCTCTAGACAGTTTTAAACAAAAAGTAACATGATCAGATGTGTATCATAAAAAATAAAACTGACAAAAAGAAGAAGAGTGGTTTGGAACAAAGTGATACTGGATTATGAGAAAAACCAACAGAAACCTGAATGATCCAGGTCAGAGAGGACAGAAAATGCCCAAGGACAGTGGAAGGGAGGAGAGACAAGTATGGAGAGCTGATAGGAGCAGGTCCTAAAAACAGATGGACTTCCGACTACAGCCCCGATGATCTGGAATGAGCTGGAAGCATGGACCTACTCAGGGAAAACAATGAGACGCTGATGTCTATAACCATTATCTGTAGGGGCGTACTGGCACCAAGGGACACAGAAAGAAAAAATACACAAGTACTACACACGTATCCAACAAAACCAGTAAAGAGAACAAGGGATTAAGACGAAAGCAACTCTGGTGGAGGGTTCACAAGTGATCATTTTAGAAACTCTGCTCCATGACTCACACAGATTACTTAATTAAACGAATTGTTTCATTAAAATGGAATATATAAAATGATCGCATGCAATGCTATAAACTGCATATTTGTGTGCAAACTGGGAGAAGTGGATTGTTTTTAAAAAGGAAAAACAGCCAATCTAAGTCATCCTAGAAAACCTTGAGGTATTCCTCCCCCCTGGAAAACCAATGAAGAAGTAGAATTTAATTACAGAAGATGAAATATTTTCTAATTGTATTTTTTAATTATTCAAATATTTCCTAATTATCTGAAAAGAGGGCAATGCTAGACCATGAAATATTAAGTCTTAAAGGGACGAGAGAGAGGAGTGAGAAACAGCACTCCTGGCAAGAAAAGCATTTTCAAGAAGGCTTTTTGCTCAAAAACATATCTTATTTTTAAGTCGTGTTGGATAAATTATCAAAGATATTCAAATGGTAAAACAGGTTTCATTTAAAACACAGACTGGAACAGCACAAAGCACGACTGTATTCCTGCCGTATCTGCACATATTTATTTTTACGTTCTACACACATGGGTGTGTATGTGCGCACACACCCGCTAAAGGTGAACAAACACCACCAGGGGTCAGGTTCACACCTCCCTCGGAATAAGGTTTCAGAGAGCCAATACACTGTCCACCAGCTGAGCTCGGGGCCTGGCTCTACCACGCGCACCCCACATGTTACAGGCTACATCAGAGCGGAGATCCGCCCTGCACTTGCAGTCTGACCCAGGAGGGTCCTGACTTACGAAAAGCTGCCAGGTGATTCCAGTACAACTTCACTGTTAGAACCACATCAGACTAAGACGACCAGTCTCGCCTGGGTTGTATTTCTGGTACAAGGCACTAGGAATCTGGAGGCAGCAGCCTCCCACCACCATCTGGTTTTCATCAGTATCCAGTCGTAGAGTGAGAGAGTGATGCTCTCCAGGCCAGCTGGAACCACCCTTGCAGCCGGTGTGACCCAGAGTCCCAGCTAGGAAGCAGAGCGATAGGAAGAAGCTCCCCTTCCCCAGTGCGAAGCACCAACATGGCTAAGTAAGCCTTGCTGTCCTCACCACATGGTTTCTGGGAATTCAGAAATCAAGTACTCACCACAAGTTGACAAAATTGATGAAGCTTGGGGAGAACTCCCTTTCTTCAGAGTTACTCAGCTGTGGAGGGTCCCCTTTCACGACTTGTGTGAGTTGATCGAATACACTATTCCACTTTGGATAAGGAAACCGGCCTGTGGCTAACTCGTACTAAAGAGCACACAGAGGGAAAAACAAAATATACTGGGCATTATTTACTGCTCCTCACTGGAACACCCACACTGAAATCTGAATTCCAAGCAAAATTCTTGTAAAGCCTTGAATCGAACCCAGATGAGGGTGAGGTGAAATTTCCGCAGTTATTAAGGCTAAGTGGAAGGGGTATTTAGAAATCAAGATAATATAAGATCAACTGAGTTCCAGGACTGGGACTAAAAGGAAACACCAGATTTAAACCCAGACAGTGTCGCCACCGCCTAAGCGGACCAGGGTAGCCCTCAATTCTGAATCCTTTGTATGAAGGATCCTGGAAGGCTGGTTCTAGAACTTTCCTGGTGCGAAGTGTGCACAATCTGTAGTTATCTGAATGGAAGGCCATGTCCAGAACAGTGGTCAAAGTCATTTTGAAGGTAAGCAAACTTTCAACCAACAAAAGCCCAACCAGAGCTCAAAGGAAGCAACATGGAAATTCTGTACTCCAGCCATCCTGTGGTTACAACAATTTCACCCACAAGCAGATTATTACTATAACTGAAGAAATCAAGTCTGGGTCAAACCCCGAACCCCAACAATGATGCTTGGGACAGTATCTCTAAACCACGCCAAACCAGATCTGTAGGATCTTACGGACGTACGTCCCAATGCGCCAAAGGTCAAACATATTTGTGGACTGTATTCTCATCTTTCTCTCGCTCTGTTCTGAGGATAATGAAAACAAAAAAACTGTGCTTTTTCCGAAAAATAGGTCTAAATCTGCAGCATGGCCTAAATGAGCCCCATGTTGGGTGTACTGACAGGTGACTTGTTAGGGGAGGGTGAGACCCCCAAGCTCACTGGGAGAAGGCATCTGAGAGACAGCGCTGTCTGAGGACACTGTCTCAGAGATTGTTCAGCTCAGGGCTATCGGGTGGTGTTGATTTAGTCGAGTATTAAATTACTGGTTTATACAGTGAAAGGAAAGCTACCAAGCAACAATAAGGGCATCCTCCAGTGGGAGGCTGGGGCCGGAAGTCCTTCTTCACCCTAAGATGGCACCTTCAGCTTGCCACCGTCCCCAGACACACACACACACATACGCCTGTGGTGGGGGGGCGGGCAGGCATGCCACACACATGAGAAATTCAGTCCTCCGGCTGAGGGTTCTTTCTGATATAAATACAAATGCTCGGGATGAAGTAAACCTTATTGGTTATTCACAACACTAGGAATAACTTTATCAGGTTCATTCTTGAGAATAGATGTTAATAAGAGAAGGAAACGGTAAAATGCACCATAGAAAGTGAAGGACTTTGGAACTTAGAAATTAATTTCACACATTTCTTAATTTTTGTAAGATCATCCATATGGAAAATAGATTATGAAACTATTGTAAGTACTGAATGCCTTGCTTTTAAACAAAGTTTAGCCAGATATACTAAAAGAACTTGCTGAAAATGTTCCTGTTAAACTTTTCACAGAATAAAATTCTCTTTTTATGATGAAGTAAATACTCTCTTTAAACAAAACTGGTTTGGGCATAGACAGGTGTTTCTGAATCGTGAATATCCTTTATATGCACACGGTTAGGTACCTCAGCGGGATGCTACAGGTTGTGCTGTAGGCCTTTGGACCAGTCACCACACCTAAAAGATGCCCAAGTTTCATGTTCTCTCCTCACTGAAGAAGGGATTACGTCTCTCTTTTGGTCAGTTGGCTTCACAACGAGAAAAGACTCCAGGAGGTATTGCCCATATCAGGTCACAAGAGAAACCAGACGGAGTCTTCTGCAGAGGTGAGCTACTAGCCTTCAACTCTTGGGACAGAGGATTCATCAGGCCCGGGAATGGTGGCTCACCAGGATCACTAACAAGGGTATGTGATTCTCATCTACAGGAAGACCTCAAGACCACATAATGCCAATGAACAGATGGAGATTATTTAGTAAGCTACAAAAAAAAATTCTCTGCTCAGAACCTGTGTTACCTCTGGGCCGTGGGACCTTATTAAAAATGGGAGGAAATGAAAGGAAAAGTTTGGGCTGCCTCCCAAACAGAACACAGCCCCATCTAGTGATGGGAAATTCCCACAATGTAGAAGCAGCTGTCCGAGGTCAGAAAAATGCCACTGAGCTATAAGAGAGCAAGCACAAGAAAATAAATCTAAAATTTCAAAACAAAATTTAGTAATAGGAAGTAGTAAGCAAATAAAGATACTTTTAAGACAGAAGGAAAACTTCAGTCCAGTTGCAGGTGAGAAAGAAGAGTTTACTTCACTGAACTTAGTTGCAAATTAAGTAGCTTTCTCACTCTTCTCAGTGTTGGTTTAAGGTAGAACTTTTATCAGAATTATCACCTACGTGGTCGGTGTTCCTCCAGAACTGAGTTACTTTCAGCTCACTCATTCATTCTATTCAGAGAACAGAAGATTCCAAGCAGAAACTATTTTCATGCATGTAGACATGTCTGCCCAATACCTACGCTGTACAGAGTACTACCAGACCTCCCGCTCTTCCCCGAGGAGGGAGGAGCCAGGCACCGCCGTCCTGACCGCGGGTGAGCCGCCCTCCCCTGCCCCTGCTCCTGACGCAGGTGGTTGACTCCCAGTATCTCTGGCCAAGAGATCCAGAGCGACACTGAAGGACCCGAGGCGCTGCATAAAACTTTGAGGGAAACCATTAACTCTGGCTTGAGTTTTACAGTAAAACACAGACTTTTATTCAACAGCCAGAAGACATAATCCCTATGATTATAACCATAGAGAAAAAAATAGGTAAATAAAGCCAAAGACTAGAAGAGAAAAAAAAAAAGAGCAGTTCTTAGGAGGGATGGAAGGCTGATAAGATTTTCTTTCAATTCTAAATTTCCTGCTACACCACCGTGACAAACATACCAATGTGATCCCCAAACTCCAGACATCAGAGCGGACATCATATCCTTGTCGTGATGCACTCGGATCGATTCTTTCAGGCTGGAACAGAAAGAGAAGCCATGGTCATTCATTACGCACACTCTCAAGGAACAGGACGGAAGCAACAGCTGGGCAGGGAGCTGAAATGCCAGCTTACTCCTAGAAGAATCCACGTCTAGGGTCAGACTGGGAGTAACAGGAAGCCATCATTATACTGAAAACCACCACCACCAACAAAACCCAACCCAATACCACCTCCATAAAGGGAACACAAAGCAACTCTTCTAATTTCTCCCCCTAAGGACTCACCAGCATTTACAAACCGGAAGCTGAGAACAAAGAAAAAAGGAAGAAAACTGGAAAAGTGAAAAAAATAAAGAATTACAGGGTCAGATTAGTAAGCAAGTAGTGGTAAACAGAAAAAACAAAAAAACAAAACAAAAAAAAACTAAGTCTTCTCTGTTTCACTGAATAAGGCCATACCACAATATATCTGAGATACAAGAGCAAACATGAGCTAAATTCATTATAATTACTCTACCCATTCTTCATCATAAAGCTAAATGCATTACTATGCATATCTTTAAAGATATCTATTAGTCATTTTTAACCAAATTAAGGCACTGTCAAAATATATTATCCTATCATGCAAACAGCAAAAATCATCTTTAGTAATTTCCATGAAGGGAGCATTCTTTGTGTCTCCTTGAAATAAGGGACCATTATTTACACAGTGCATAAGGGATGGAGAGGAAAAGAGAGAACCAGTAGCTCAGAGCTGACAACAGTCCTGGGCAAAGGCTGAGAGTCACTGCTATTGGAAGAAATGTCCAGAAGTACAAGAGTTGACTGTGTTATAATTTCTGCCTGTCAGCAACGACTAGCTTGGAGACCTATTTTACATATTTTTGTTTTGAACATGAGTACTGTGGCTGCATCAATATTCACTGGAAGCTACTTAGTTTTTAGTTATAAAAATATGTATTTAAGCTAAGATATGAATTACATAAAAAAGTCCCAGATAATCAACCAAGAGAGGAAAATACTCAGTTCAACAGCGGCAGGATACACATTTTTCTCAAGCTCTCATGGAACATCCACTGATATAGACCATGTTCTGGGCCATAAAACATGCCTTATTTTTAAAAAGAGAAAACATGCAAAGCATGTTCTCAGATCACAAAGTCACTAAATTAGAAATCAGTAACAGAGAGTTAGCTGGGAAATCCCCAAATATTTGGAGATTAAACAACACCTTCTAAGCAACACACAGATCACAGAGGAAGCCTCAAGGAAAAAACAACAACAACAACAAAAAACTTTGCACTAAATGAAAATGAAACAGAACTTATCAAATGTTGGGAAATGCAGCAAAAGTAGTATTCAGGGGGAAATTGATAGCACCAAATACAAATACTATAAGACAGACCGCAATCAGTATCTTACTTTACAACTTTAAGGAATTGGAAACAGAAGAACAAGTAAAATAGACAAAAACAAACAAACAAAAACCACAGAGAAAAGACAACAAAACCCAAAAGGATTCTTTGGAACGATAAACAAAACTGACAAAACTTTCAGCTACACTGATTGAGCAAAAAGGAGAGACAATCAAATGACTAAAATCAGAACAAAAGAGGGGACATTACTACTGCTCTTCCAGAAATAGAGGAAATGGACACATTATTTGAAAATGAAACCTATCAAAAATATTACAGAAATGTGAATAGACTTAAAACTACTTTTTCAATGAATTTGTTATTAAAAACCTCCCATGAAATGCAAGCTGGTGTAACCACTCTGGAAAACCGTATGGAGGTTCCTCAAACAGTTGAAAATAGAACTACCATACGATCCAGCAATTGCACTACTGGGTATTTACCACAAAGATACAAATGTAGGGATCCGAAGGGGTACGTGCACCCCAATGTTTA